TGACTTCTACGCTCATTGCCTAACTTGTAACATCTAGGCCTAGTGTGTCCTAGAGCACCACAGTGGTGGCAGGTGGGAATAAATCTAGGCTCAAAAGTACGTGTCTGAGGGTACCTAGTCCTAATGTTCCTACGTGATTGATGACTTTGTTCCCTAGGAATGCTCTTACCCTTACTTGGACTCGTAACCGTATTAGGCTTAGAGGCAGCCACGAAGACAGTCTTAGATGGTCCAGCAATAGTTGTATTACCCTCAACATATCCTAGACCTCTCTTGTCTCCCACTGGCTTATTCATTCCCAATAGGTTATCTAATTTCTTGTTTCCACTAATGAATGTCTGAAGATGGGCATTAGATTTTTCCAATTCACTAGTCAACCTCTTAACCTTGTCTTCCAATTTCTCATTGACACACTTCAACTCACTACCGCTCTTAAGTGACTCCTGAAGCTTACCACCCAGTTTCTCTTTTTCCCGTTCAAGTTCGTCAAGCTTTTTAAGTAGGGATTTATTGACCTTCTTTATTTTAAGAATTTCTTTAAACAGTTGTTGATATGCTTCTTGTAGGTCTATGTCATCCTCATCCTCATTCTCATTAACAGAATTATCATTTGATTGCTCTTCCTCAACCTTATCACTTTCCTTATCAGACTCACTCTTAACAGTAGCCACAAATGCCATATAATTTCCTTCATCATCACTACTGGAGGATTCCTGCCTATCACTGGTCTCAGATTCATTATCAGTAAGTGAGACAACTAAGGCCTTGCCTTTCCCTTTTCTTTGATTTTTCTTATAGCTCGGACATTCATTCCTATAGTGACCTATTCCTTGACACTCATGGCATCTAACCAAACGTGGCTTCTCACTAGACCCCTTATTGTTATCTTTCTCAATTTTATCTTTTGTGAATCTGCTAGGGGCTCCATTCTTTCTATCCTGAGGCTTTCTCCTATTGTTGAGGACATTTTGGAATTTCTTGACAAAATATGCGATTTCCTCATCCCTAAGTGACTCAGTGTCAGACAATTCACCTTCTTTATTGGATTTTAGGGCTATGGATTTTCCTTTCTTGTGTTGTGAGAGAGTAAGTTCATAGGTTTGCAAGGATCCTACCAATTCTTCGATCTTAACTTCATCTAGGTCCTTACTTTCCTCAATAGCAGTGACTTTAGGCCTAAATCTCTCAGGTAGGGATCTAAGTACCTTTCTCACTATCTTGGTCTCGGGAATTCTCTCACCTAGGTTGAAACTCGAGTTAACTATGTCATTTAGCTTAGCGTAAAACTCATCAAAAGTTTCATCATCTTTCATCCTCACTTCTTCAAACCTAGAGGCTAGCATTTGCAATTTTGAGTTCTTTACTATCTTAGTTCCCTCATGTGTAGTTTCGAGAATGTCCCAAACCTCTTTAGCAGTTTCGCACATAGAGACTCGCCTAAACTCTTCTGGTGATAGTGCCATGAATAATGCATGAATTAACTTTCTATTCCAGTTACATGCAGCTAACTCATCTTTAGTCCACAATGATATGTCAGTAAGATGAATGTTTCCTGATACGATACTAGAGGGAGGTTTCCAACCATTTTGAACACTAATCCACACATGCTCATCTAATGATTTGAGGAATGCACGCATTCTAACTTTCCAATACGCATAATTACTTCCGTCGAAAAATGGAGGTACAGACAGTGATTGACTCATCTAGACAACTATGGG